AAGGCAGGGGGCGGGCGCGGAGGCGGGGCCTGGAGGGCGGGGCCACGAGCTGGGGGCGGGGCCGAGCCTCGGTGGCCGCAGGGTGCTCACCACCCCTCCGTCCACACCCCCGAGGTCGCGCTCCACCCCCTCCGCTCTTCCGAGGGCCACGCGTGCCCCAGGAAGCCAGCGCGCACGGCACGCACAACCCAACCCCAAGCGCCCGCCCCGCGCCGGCCACTGCGGCCACACGCGCACGGTGCTCGGCCTCGTGCCCCCTCCCGCACCCCCGCTCCTCAATCCCCCCGCAGAGTCCCCCGTCCTCGCCATCCCTCCCCACGGAGGCTGAGCCACACAGATCTCTCTAGACCCCGCCACGTGCACACAGACTCCTCGGCGGTTCTCATGAAGACTGAAGGGAGGCCTTCAGCCTCGGGCGCCTCGGGCCAGGACCCCACCCCACCCGGCCACGCCTGGCCCGGCTACCCTGACTGCCCTCCTCTGGCCTGGAGGAGTTGCCAGATTGCGGGGGTCGGGAATCAGGAGTGGCCGCCCCAGGGCAGAGCCCAGCCAGGTCTCTGGCACGGGAAAAGCAAGTGGGTCCCCTAGACCCTGTGGCTGTGGGAGAGGGACCCCAGGGAAGGGAGGGCACAGCCTCATGCTCCCTGCACGCTGCCCACAGCACTTTTGCATGCATGATCTCAGGCCAGTCCCCTTCCCTGAGGTAGGCATTCTTCTTCCCGTTTTTCCAGTTGAGGAAACTGAGGCTCAGAGTTAAAGAACTTGCCCAACATCATCCAGGCAACAAACGCAAAGCTGGGCCTAACCCAGGCCTCCTCAGCATGGGGCACAGACACCCCCCCCCCCCCCGCCCGCCCCTTCCATCAGACAGGGCAAGATGGCCTTGCTGTCCTGTCTCACCTCCTAGGCCTCTCCTGAAGCAATGACTGCAGAGCACATTCAGCTGTCCCCAGAGCCCCAATCCTCCCATAAACACCTCCTTGGAGTCAGCAGGGGGAGAGGAGGGGCTGACCCTAGAATCTCAGCATGGGAGGGGGGCTCAGAGGCCCCTGCCTGGACGCTGTACAGAAGAGGGAACTGAGGCACAGAGGGTCCCCTATACCAGGGTGTGTACATCTTGGGCTCCCCCTCAATGGCAGAATCAAAGCACATGCCCCCTGGGAAAGCGTCCCACACCTCGGAGTGAGGGTGGGGCCCAGCTGCCCGCTAGCTGATAGTCTGATGAGTGTAGGCCGACATTCTCGACCCTACTAGAGACAGGAATCTGCGGCTCAGCGTGTGGGAGGCAGTGGATGGGCCTGGCTCAGCCCCCCGGGCTGGGCTTTTTCTGCTGAACGACCCAGCCCGGATGGTGTGCCGAGGCTAGGCCGAGCAGCCAATGGGCTGCTTTTGTGGCTCCGGGAGCCAGAAGAGCCCCAGGTAAGGTGTACAAGAGCCTTGCAAGGAGATGTTGTCCAGTTCAAATGAACCAGCATTTCCCGAGCACCCACTATGTACCAGACATTACCCTCATCCTAGGGAGGCAGAGTCACGATGGACAAACCCCTTGATGCTGAGCTCAAAATCCAGGGAGCAGAGACCGACTCCCAGAGCCTGCCATCCCCAAGGCTGAGACCCGCGACACCTGACAGGTGGCCCCTTCCTCGCCCCCACCTTGCCCCCACCCCGTCAAGCCCACGGTGGTTTCTCACCCCTTCAGGAACATCTCTGGACCCTGTCTGCTCTCTCCACCTCCACCATCACCTCCCCAGGCCGAGACAACAGACACCTCTTACCCACTCTCCCGGGGCCACACAGGTCACCGGACAAGCCCCTCCTCCACATGGTGGCCGGAGGATCCTTGACACACCATGCGCTCCCCTGCTTGGAGCTTGTGGGTTCCCACTGCCCTGAGGATCAAATCCAGAGCCTGGAATCCTTGGAGGGGCCTTCCCTGCCTCTCCCCTCGCTCCCCTAGCCCCTAGACTGTCTTTCAGTGACGGTCGTCTCCCCCTTCCCTGACTGCCTTCACCCTGGGTTAGGCTCAAGAATCACCCTCTGGTGATTGGGTGACTTTTTTCCATCCTGTGCCATAAGCCAGGAGGGCTGGGACCGTAGTAACTGGTTCACTACAACATTCCCACACCCAGCACACAGTAGGCTCTCAGTGAATATCTGGTTGAATGGATGGATAAACGTCGGTCTCACAGGAGGGAAGGGATTGAATTAGACCATACCGGTGCAAATGCTTTGTAAAAGGTGCCACACCGGACAGACAGATATGGAAGCACGGTAACTGCCACTGGTGTACGTGCCGCAGAGCAGAACCGTGGGGATTGGCTGGTACTCTGGGGGGACCGGGTGAGAGAGGGGTTCCCATGGAGCAGGCTCTCTGGGGAGAGGGCCGGCTGGCTCTGCTCAGCACACTCGGGTGGGAAGAGCTCGGGCTGGCAGGTCCCGGCTGGCGGGAGGGGCTGGCTGGATGCCAGAGGGAGGCTGGACCGCTCTGGATAGGAAATTTGAGGGAAAATGGGAGGTGCATGGTGAGGGCAGCCCAAGCTGGGAGGCAGGAGGAAGGGAGAAAGGAAGGGGCTGGGAGGGGGTCTTGGTGGAAAGGGGGCTGGGGATGCAGCGGGGGCTGGGAGAAGTGAGCAGCAAGAATTCCGGAGGTGGGAATGGCCGAGGGCTTTAAAAGCCCTGTAGTCCGTTAAGGAATCAGCTGTAACCGCCCCCTGGCCCCAGCTGCAGACCTCTGCAAAATCCGTCTACACCCACGGCCCAGTGCGGGGGTGCAGCGGAGACTAGGAGGTAAAGGTGCTCCCCCTGTGTTTGGGCTGGTGACAGGCAGAGGGGGTGGGGATGGGGTCTTGACACCCAGGGGAGCAGGCAGCCCCCGGGGCTGGAATCTGAGGCAGAGGCCAGGAGGAGACAAAACCGTCACAATCCCCCAGGGCAGGGGGCAACTGGGTGGCCTACAGGCAGATCCAGCCCCATATGTGCTCCGCACAGCCTGCAGCGTGGGGGGAAAAAACTGCATGCAGCCAAAGTTTTACAATGGAGAGACTGACATAAAAATCCTGATTTCTGGCTTCCTGGGAAGCATCAGATGACCAGGCATCCTGGGCCTGAGGCCCCACGTGATGGCCCTTGCTGAGCGGCTGCGCCCGCAGGGGCTCCAGGTGCCCACCGGGCCCTCCACTCACTTATGGGGCCTTCCAGGCCCAATAAGGGGTTGGGGATTGAGCAACTGTACTGGGGGCGTGGCCCTGGGCAGGGCCTGTGCCTGGACTCAGGGAAGGGAAATGCCCTCTATCAAAGGGAGTGGAGACTAGGGGGACCCATTCATGCGTCCCCAAAGCTGCCAGAGTGACCTTGCTCCAAGAACTGCACCAGGCCTGATGGCATCATCCACATCCTCTCCTCACCCGGGAACCAAACTTCATTCCAGACTCCCCCGGCCAGCGGGGTGTCACAAGCTGGTACAAGACCCTGGTCCCCAAGGGGGACCTAGCTATCCCCAGGGCTTGTCCTTCTGATGGGAGAGGGAGCCCTCGGCGGGGCAGCCAGAACTGGGGTTCACCCAACCCTGCCACCAAGTCAGGTGACCTCTAGGGCCTCAGTGCCCATCTGTAAGATGGATGTGGTCCAGGGTTGGGGGCCTCTGCCTCCCCCGACAAGCTGCCATGGGTGAGTTTGAGGGGCAGGGAAAATGAGAATCCATAAAGCCCTTTAAAGACCACATGCTCCCTCTAGACATGGCTGGAGACAGTGACCCAGGTGTCTTTGATCCCTGTGGTTCAACTGTGCCGCGGGGCTGGACCTGAGGTTTCGTCTTCACAGGCACAGTGCTGGGTACAGCAATGACCTTCAGGACGGGCCTGGCCCCTGCTGGGAACCCGGGAATCAGGATCTTGGAGGGCAGGGCCTGAGGATTGCCATCGAGCATCTCAGGGGCTCTGACGGTACCCTGGGCTCTGCAGAACCCTGAGCGCGGCTCAGCCCTTCACTTCAGACGGACAGGCTGACGCCCAGGACGGAGGGGACTGCAGTCAGTCAGTGCCGCTCTGGAACCCAGGACTGGGGACTTCCACCGGATGAATTCACCAGCTGTGTGTCACCAGCCCATACGGTGGGGAGCAGTCAGCGCCCCCCAAGTGACCAGGTGGGGAGAGGGCCCTGGGCCCAGGGAACGACAGAGAGGCAGGGCAGAGGGGCGGCCACTTTAGACATACTGCCCCCTCTAGTCCTCAAGAGGATGCCAGGCAGGAGTTACAGAGAGAGAAACTGAGGCTGGGAGGCCGAGGCCCATGCCCCAAGTCAGAGTCAGCAGGTGGCAGAGCTGAAGCTGAGCCAGGCCAGCAGAGTGGGCGAGAGACCGCCGCCAGCCCTGTCATCCCCGCTGGCCCTGACCTCAGCCCTGCCCACTCCAGGTGCTGCCACCTCCGAGGGGCACTTCTGCCCCCTGGTGGCGAGGCCTGGCGCTCCCCCAAAGCTGACTGGGAGAGTCCCTCCTGCTCGCTGGGGAACCCCTGGGTCCCTGGGCTCTGCACCCTGGGGTCCTGGACACCCATGGAGGGGCTCAGCAATGTGCTGGGCAGGGGGAGG